AGATGAAGATGAAGATGAAGAACAGAAATCTCCTTTTCGTTTGATTACTGGAGCTTCAGTAGCTTGCGTTTTTTGAGAATTGTAGTTGAGTGAGAGAAGAGAGATCTCTTTCCGTTGAGGAAGGAGAGAATTACGCAGCAATTCTAATTTGATGTTGACAGAATCACACGCAGATCTGGTGTCTTCATTTTAGCGCATTTTTATGGCAAAATCTACCTATTTTTGGATTGGTATATAATTTGTAGTAAAAGTGTGAACTACACGGGTAAATAACAAATTATGAACATTTTTGGTAATAAAGTTTGATATATGGTATAGATAGGTAAAAATCTCATTTAACAACAAAAAAATATGTCCAGTCCAATCAGACTCCGAACTTGAACAGATTAAGCAAGTCAAATAAATTTGGGCTATTTGCTACTCTTAGTGACATATATTTAAGTATAAGTAATTCAACCCTAAATAGAGCTGCAGCCGGAGCAGATGAAAAGAAAGTGAGGGTCGGATCCATGCAGCAGCAGTCTGGATGTTGTGAGGTTTGCACCGCCCGGCAACCTCTCATCCTCCACCTTCTTCCCTACAGAGGTCTCCACCGCCGCCTCTGCACCGCCTGCGTACTGGCGGCGCACCCTGGTTCCTTCTGTCCTATCTGCTTCGAAGTCTTCCTCAACAACAACCCTCCTCCTCCTCGTCTCCGTCTCCATTGCTTCAAATGCCCTTCCATCGTCCACCTCTCATGTGATGTTGCTGCTCCTGCTCCTGCTCATTACTTGTGCCCTCCCTGTTCCAACCCTAATTTCACCTTTTTCAACCTTCCTCGCGCTGAACCCGTCCAGATCAACCTACATTTGGCTAAACAGTTGCTCGCCGCTGCTTCCATTGCTTTTGAGTCTATCAACAATGCTGCCGTTATCTCGAGGATTAACGCTGAGATTAGGGTCAAAGAAGCTCTGTTCGCTAAGGCTGAAGTTGGCCAATTTTTAATGAATCATCATTTAATGCCCAAACAGAAAAGATGCTTATCTCAATCTTCTGATGATGATAGCTCACGCAGTTGAGATTCTGAAACAATGCTGGTGTATAACTTCGCTCTTTTTTGAATGATTGGGTTATTTGGGCCTAGTTTTGGGAAAATATAGGAATTGGATTTATTCATCAAGCCTCTCTCTTGAATATGCTGTCAAATTTTGAGCTATAATCGATACTAAAAAGAAATTGGTTATGAGATTAATATGCATCTAGGTGTAGTATGTTTTACATCAGACTAACATTTCAATTGGTTGGACCTTGATTACTTCCTTGTTAAATTGGTTTAGAATTACTAGCATAGGAAAAATGGTCCTGCCCATCCATCCAACCGTCTAATCTGGCCTAAACATACCTAAATAATTTTTGGTGCACTTTTCTGGTGTATAAAATTGAAATTGAGAGATGACAAGGGTGAAGTTTGTCTCTTGAAAGTATTTTACATGGAAACTACTTCTTTACAGTAATATATTTTGAAAACAATGACAAGGAAGCACTATGAGTCATCGTCACAAGTAACAAGACGTAGAATGGTGCATTTTGATTCAGAAGTATAGTATTGGATGCACCACATCGCAATGAAAAGCTGTCATCCACTTTTTTATATCAACAGTTTCCGCAATCTTTTTTCCTAACAACTGTCATGCCTGTGATAATGGTTAGTTAAAATGACATGATCTTATTTGTGTTGATCTCTAATTTAATTTTTGGCTTTGGTCACAATCTTTGTTAAAGATTAACTCTAGATTTCTAGCTTTTCTCCTTTAGATTGTCAATCTTCTTTGGACAGAATGTCCATCTTCTGTAGAAAAAGGGATCAACTATTTTGTTGAAACAATAATATTTCTAGGGCTTTTGATATTCCAGGTTGATGGTGTGTCTTGTCCAGTGATTACAATAGTTTTTTTTTTTAATTTTTCTTCTACAAAGTAGTCACTGATCATCTCTCTTTTGTGCTTGTTTTTGCTACAATAAATATGTAACGATAATATGCTGCTGTGCAGAAATTTGAGCTGAATTTGGATCTAACATGGCACACGAAAGCATCCTGTACAAACTCAATAAATATGTTGTTTTCAAAGGTGGGTCTTTCTTGGACTATATGTGATCATTATACAATCTGTTACCATTTCACATAACATGACAAAAGAAAGTATGAACTTTAGAAATGTTGTTCCCAAGGTTATGCTTTTAATGAATTCTGCTGTTTTCCCATTACCATTTTCGATGCTCTCTAAGCCTTAGATATCATACTTGAGCTAAACTTCTGAGCTTCTTTATTGGACCAGGTAAGAAACCATTTACTTTTATTAAACGATTTGGTCTTCATGGAGATGGGACTGTGGAAGACATTAATCAACGGATACGCACAACACAAAAAATAGTGTGCATCCTTGTATTTTGTATGCCAAGTCTGCTTTCTCTGGCAAACTTGTTGGGAAGACCACAATTCAGACTGAGAAGGAAAAGGCTGCTCCAGGAACCTCATACTCTACGAGCTTACTTTCCGATTGAACTCATCCTTGTCGCTCATATCATGAAAATGTTTATGCATACATATTTGAGAGCCTTTGTCGACGCCAATTACTTGGACGTAATATAATAATACAATCTAAGAAGCCACAGCTTTTCACCATACACGGCATGTTTCTTCAGAACTGATTTTTCAACCTATATTACTCTTTTGTAAGAGCTTTTACCTATAAGAGCAAGAGCCATCATTTGCTGGTACAGTTTTTGTCTCCATAAGATACTTCCTTAAATATATGTAAAATAAATACATAAATTTACTATGCAATAATGATTCCAAAGGAGAACAATAAAGAATTTGCATAAGACATCCATTTACTATCTTATCACATTTCCTTTTAATCTGCCTATCTTGTGCAGAATTTGCGCTCAAATACAATGGTATCTTCCAAAATTAAACAAGGCGGTGACTCCTTAAGCTATTGTTACAAAAATATTCTAAACAGAGTCCAAAAACAATTCTTTCTATGATTGAGTTTGTGAATGAAGATTGAGAGTGAATGCACCAAAGACGAAGCTTTAGATATTACAGATACGGAGTAATATTTTTCAGAAAGAATTGAGGAGGATCAAGTATATAAGGACAAGGACACGATCGGGAATATAATGCAGAATTACTTTATCAACGAAAACATCTAGTTTAAGGTTAGAAAATCAAGCGCCACGACGCCTACAAGGTACAATCAATTGTATTTTATGATGTGTATGTGTATAAATTAGGGAATCTTACAGAAATGTCTCAAATAGTTCTAACTTACCAATTTCTAGCCATTAATCACACACTTATCAAAATTAACAAATCATATACAAAATTGAAAACCCAAATAAATAAGAATTCTTTCTCTCCAAGAATCACACACAAAGATTTCTTTTCATATTTTTAAGCGTGATCAACAATATTAGATACATGACACAGAAAGAAATTTTTTGTGAATGAGGTAGCAAACAAGGTGATGAAATTAAAAAAAAATTCTCTCTTTCTCTCTCTCTCTCTCTCTCTCTCTTTATATATATATATATATATATATATATATATATATATAAGTTTCCAAATTTCTAAGAAAAAAGGGAGCTTTTCAATGGCTATGGTTGAAATTCGTTAAAAACATATAAATGAGATATACGAAATTTGAGGAATATTGGAGGTGATTTGACTGATTTTGATATCAAAAGTCATAGTTAAATCGAGTTCAAAAAATTCTTCTGCGGCACATGTATCATATATGTATATCGCACACAGGTATATATGTGATATACATTTAATACAAATATAATACATCTATGATACACAAATAATACAGTGTGATACACATATCAACTTTTTTCATGTTCATCCACTTCGGATTTCAATTCAAACAACCTCATAACTCTACCAAATCCTTCCAAAACTGAGATGTAAACTCCTTAGATGTATCCAATCTATTCCAACAGCACACACTCAGAAGAAAGCAAAAATTTAATAGTTTTTGGCTAGAAATAGCTAATTGGCTAATAATAAATTGGTTAATTTTTATACAACTAACTTATGGGTTGACATAACTGATAATTTCCCTATAAAAATGATTATAAACTTTTACATGTATTTGTCACGACCTAAAATTCACTAGTCGTGATGACACCTAACTCGACTCGCTAGGTAAGCCAACTAACAGTCGATAAAATACAAATGAAATTTATAGAGAAACAACGAGGAATTATCTGAACACTTACATATTAACCCAAGAACTGGTAGTACGAATCATGATCTTTTAAGACCTGAAATTTACAAAGCTGATACAAATAATTAAACGATCTGTTTGAAAGTTACATAAACAGATTAGCAAAATCTAAAGCTACCAAGGACAAGTGACATCTATATCTGGAATGCACGAACATCTTCAGAGTCAGCTCTCGACATCACCAGGAGCTTGGCTCTAAAAATCTGCACGCAAGGTGCAGAAGTGTAGTATGAGTACAACCGACCCCATGCACCCACTAAGTATCCTTGTCGAAGTAGTGACGAGGCTTTTTAGTTAAAAGATATTCACTGATAAAACCCGAGCTATAAACCAACAATAGAACTATACTACGATATAACATAAAAGAATACATGAAACAAATATGCAAAACAATAACTAATTGCTAGCAGAGATCACAATTTAGCATCTTCCAGTACCTCAACCAATCTTTTCCTTAGAACGAAAACCAATAAACCATGATAGTCACTCCATAACTTTCATAGCATGAGGAATATACTCAGATATCAAGTCAATTACACGGCAATACCCTTCGTGCTTTTATCCCATCCTCACTCAATATGCGTATAACAGTACCAACCAGATGGCAGAAATACCGATAACAGAAATTACAAAGAAGGAAATACGCAAGTAGCAATAATGAACAAAGATATACATATAGGCAACAATAATAGACTAGGCGGAAGACATATGAGTAATGACAGCAATTGGAAGACAAGGAATATCAACTTCAACTAATTAACATGGTGTAGGCCTAGATATAGATATAGCAAATAAGAAGGGAACACATGATCTTTACAAGTTAACAAGTAGAGGGATGGATGACTAACATGGTAGAAGGCTTGTACTAAAGTGCAAAAGAATAGATACGACATGGATATAATTATAACAGTATGAAGTAGGCATAGTATTTGTAAGTTAAGCATGTAGAAGGTATGAGCAAAACAACAACAATTGAGACGGAGATCAATGACATGACAATAACAACAAGCCACATAAGATCTATAAGTACGACAATAACAACTCAAGGTAAAGGCATGAACGTATACACGAGGAACATATATCACAATATAATGCATGTCCCTTATCCTCGTCTGCACGAAAACAACCATCGTGCCATGGACTCACGATAATATAAAAACATGACAATATAAGTAAAATAATACGGCATCACCCTTCATGCTTTACACTTACATAACATGGCACGACATCACCTTTCGTGCTTTTACTCTCAAATGATATGGTACGATATCGCCCTTCGTGCTTTACACTCACATAACATGGAACGACATCATCCTTCGTGCTTTACACTTATATAACATAGCACGACATCACCTTTCGTACTTTGTACTCACATAACATGGCACGACATCACTCTTTGTGCTTTACATTCTCCCTTACCAAGCATATGTACATCAATGACAAATAAGGTAGGAAGCATAAATAACGTCAAGGAGGTTGTATAAACGAATATTCCAAATGAACCCTAATCACAACTTTCAAGTCAACAATAGTTCAATAAACCCTCAAGAACCTTATTATTCAAGTATTTCAACAAATCTCAAGAATATCAGCCGACACCGTAGCAATGTATTAATGATTAAACATAATGATGACCGAATTAGAATTTCCGTCAAATTGTAATCAAGTTATAATGATCTGAATCTTGGTTTCTAACCTTTAATACTATGTTCTTAGTTTCTATGAGTCAAGTAAGACATGAAGCAAGAAAGTCATGTAATTCTACAAGACACAATTTATAATATAATTTACCCCCGAGCATGGTTAACCCTGGAACATGCATATATGCTCGTCACCTCATATATGTATCACCCCCGCATGTAGCAAACAATGTCAAATAATAGAAAAATTCCCTCAACAAAGTTAGGCAAAACACTTACCTCAATTCGGCTAATTAAATACTCAATTAAGCTTCTCCCTTCACAAATTCACCTCCGCCCGGCTCAATCTAGCTAAAGACGACTTAAATACATCACGCAATGCAAGAGAAAACAATTTCAATTAATAAAGCTATGACCTTTATACAATTTCTAAAGAGTCAACAAAAAGTCAACCCCCGGGCTCGGCCGATCAAAATCCAGGTTCAAGGTTAGGTCTTGACTACCCATAGCCCCAGGAGTCCATATACTTGATTAGTTTCCAAATTCGAGTCCTATTCGACTCTCAAAATCAAAATTTTCATATTTCAAAACTTTGGCAAAATCCCCAAAATTTTTCCTATATTCACATGAATTTGATGTTAAATCTGATTTATAATCATGAAATATAATTAAGAATTGATTAGAGGTACTTACCCAATGATTTGGTATGAAAATACCTTCACAAAATTGCCTCCCATTAAAACTAGGGTTGAAAATATAATAAAATGAAGTTAAGTCTCGGAATTCTCAGCTATATGTAGGTTGCAGATGTCGCATTTGTGACATGGGGTTCGCAAATGCGAACAATTTGTCGCAAAAATGAACCACAAGGCCTCATGCTGAGGTTGCATTTGCGATCCAATACTTCGCAAATGCAAAGGCAATTATCTCACAAAAGTGGCAAGGGTCTCGCAAAAGCGAATTGCCACACTTCGCAAATGCGAGGGGTTTCTTCGCAAATGCGAATCTTCCCCCGCAGCCCAATTTCGCAAATGTGATGGCCGCTTTGCAATTGTGACGGTCGTATTTGCGACAAAAACATCACAAATGCGATGACACCAGTACCAGCACTCAAAAATCATAAAAATCATTTCGAAGCCAATCCAAAACTCACCCAAGCTCTCGGGGCTCCAAACCAACCATGCAACCATGTCCAAAAATACAATGCGAACGTGTTCGCGCTTGAAAAACATAAAACTAACCTCTAAAAGCACGAATCTGACACCAAAATGCATGAAGATCAAAATAAACTTCAAGAACTTCTAGAATCGTAACCACGCATCCGAACCATATCAAATCAACTCCAAAATGGCTCCACATTTTGCAGAAAAGTTCTATATGACGAAACGAACCTACTCAAGGCTTCAAATTACGCATAACAACCTTGAAACAACGAAACACACCTCAAGTCGAATCAATGAACTTTAAAACTTCAAACTTTTACAACCGATGTCGAAACCTATCAAATCACATCCAATTGACCTCAAATTTTGGACACAAGTCACATTTGACATTACAGACTTATTCCAATTTCCGGAATACGAATTTGACCCCAATATCAAAAAGTCCACTCCCTGTAAAACTTCCCAAAAATCCAACTTTCACCATTTCAAGACTAATTCGACTACGGACCTCCAAATTACAATCCATACGTGCTCCTAAGTCCAAAATTAACCAACGGAGCTAACTGAACCGACGAAACTCTATTCCGAGATCCAATGCTAAAAATGGCCAACTCTTCTAACTTAGAACTTAAATCTTGCAGTTCATTCTTCCAAATCGATTCCGAATAACTTGAAAACCAACATCAACGAATTT